AGCAAATCCACGGACTTCCCATGGGCTCACCACTATCCCCCATCCTAACAGAAATTTACATGACCGACCAGGAAGATAAGGCCCTAGAAACTGCACCCTTCGAATCCTCCTGCTGGTACCGCAAAGTTGATGATACCTTCGTCATCCTCCAACCTCAGCAAGATCCTAAGCAGCTCCTCGCCCATCTCAGCAACCAACATCCCCGCATCAAATTCACCATAGAAACAGAGCAGACCAACCAACTACCTTTCCTTGATGTCCTTGTATCCCGCACCTCCTGCAACCAACTCCAGACCTCCGTGTACAGAAAACCTACCCATACGGATCAATACATCCACTACAACTCCAACCAACCCCCTAAAGTCAAGACCGGCGTCATCTCTACATTGACCAGAAGAGCCAAAAACATCTGCTCAACAAACCTACAAGAAGAAATTGAACACCTAAGGAAAGTCTTTGTAGAACGCAACCACTACCCACCTGAAATAGTCAACAGAACCATCGAAGCAACGCTTCCACCTCCTTCCAAAAGATCTAAATCAGAATCAGCCCCCATCAAGATATCCATTCCCTACATAGGTAAACCATCACATCAAATGAGCCGACTACTGAAGCAACAGGCAGGTATACACACAACCTTCTCAGCGTCCTCCAGCCTCAACAACCTCCTCCATGCCAACGGAAGAAAACAACCCACCGTCAACAACAACAACCCGAAATGTGTTATTTATAAAATAAACTGTGATTGGGGACAAAGCTACATAGGTGAAACATCCCGACCCATCAACACCCGAGTCAAAGAACATCGCACCTCTGTTGCTAACTCCGACACCAAATCAGCTATCTCTGACCACATCAAAGCAAACCCCAATCACCAAATAGAGTGGTCCGACTTCACCATTCTCGCCAACAACCAAACGGACTTCACTAAACGCAAGCTCACCGAAGCCATTCACATCAAACGCCATAAGCCCACCATCAACCGTGACCAAGGATACTTCATTCCATCAGCTTATGATCCACTCCTCCACCAAGCCCAATCTATTGTATAAACGTCGCACCTATTGTATAAACATCCCCTTTATTGTACCACTCCTGTATTTATACATCTCTGGCTTCCATTCACTATCCCTTGTGTACTCACTGGCTTCATCAGCTTACTGCTTAACCAATTATGGCAATTATGTTGTTTCCTTTGTCAATTACAATGTATGTAGTTTCATTGTTATACACAGTATAAATATGCAGCTCCTCCACATCATGTATCACTCTTGCTTGACAACGGTACAAGAACCTGTATCGACACGTCGCACTCACGAAATAAAGAAGTTGTTATCCATAAAAACTTGTTCCAAATCCAGTGATTGTCACCATTCGATACGATGACAGCATGTGTTTATGAGTCACTATGAAATGATGATGATACCAGGTGTTCGCGAAAAGGCGGGCAATCAATATTTAAATATGATTTATCAATAACATGTGTTTCAGTGATCAGTATATGGCTGAAAATGTTGAGATTCACGTCACGGTACCTCTTCCACAGGGCCAGAAAGATGTGATGATTCGTCACATATTGCACCGTCCATTCAATATAATCTACATATTCCTTAACTCTGTTATTTTTGACGAGTCGACACATCTAATTAAACATCTTTGTTAGAATGGTTTAGTTTCACTGAATAAATATCCCAAAACATGTAAGACTATTTCGATTTGCGTAGCGATACTTTGTTTACATAGGTTGTACTGCTCCACCAGCTGTCATTGAAGCCAACAGAAAGCAAACGATGCATCCAGTTTGATATCTAAATATGTACTGTTATAAATGTTATTGTCGCAGTTGTGGAGGAATATATATGTGACAATGTAAAACATTGTGAAGAGCGCCGAAAAGCTTGCGTAAGGCCAGTCTCTTCTTATTATGAATATGCGCGTCTGTTTACAAACAAGAGAAAAGTCCGGTCACGTGATATGCAAATTAGCCTGTGGCAGTGATGTTATGCTGAGTCATCACTGCGCGCTGGAGTGTGGGTACCTTCGCCACTAATGTCGCCAGGTGCTGGGGTGTCGCGTGATGCCTATCATAAGGGTTGCAAGGACGGGGACGGTGGGGGTAGCCTAGTGGTTAAAGCGTTGGCTCGTCACGCCGAAGACCCGGGTTCGATTCCCCACATGGGCACAATGTGTTAAGCCCATTTCTGGTGTCCCCCGCCGTGATATTGCTGGAATATTGCTAAAAGCGGCGTAAAACTAAACTCACCCATACAGTCAGTCAGTTGCAAGGACGCTGTCAACGTACGGGTGTCATTGCTGGCCATCCTTGTTTCGATACAGATTCTTGTACGTGCAGCAACGGTACAAGAATCTGTATCGAAACGTCGCACTCTCGTAATAATAAAAAAGTCGTTATCCATATAGTTTGTCTATATTGTACTTCCCATCTTTTAAAATGCCACTCAAAGAAGAAATTATAACACCTTGGACTAATCTTCAACTGAAACGTGTATTAGGTCATAACCCAATGTATTGAATGGATGACATTATCATCGTTATATTTTGTTAGGAATACGAGACAAACCTTCCCTCGGTCAAGCACCGCTGGCAATGGACACCTGTCTATCATGTGGGTATGTATAAAACATGTGCAAGACACTTATCATAGATTTGCTCTTGGAACGAATCATGTTTTATGTAGCACCAAAGTAATCTTTCATTGAACGTGATTCTTTCATAATAAGTGCTAGATAAGGGAGGATACTCACTTTTTAATAAATATTCCATAAATACATATTGAATGGCCAATACGACGTCATTGCATAATGACCTTTTAAAATCTGGACTGACAGGTGTAACCCACAGGTCTAACCGATAGTTGGTTTTATTTGACGTAGTTTTTTATACCTACTAGGGTGTCCCACGTCTTTTGCATTAGATCACGGATGTAAGATTTAATTACGGCTCTGTAATCAGAGTATGGGATGAGAAGCTGTTATTTGGTAATCGAGAAGCTATTGTTCTGATGCGATGAAAGTGGCACAAGTGAAACTGCGTCACCATCCTTGGGCGTGTTTTAGCATTACTTTGGAATGAAACTTCCTCTTCCAGCAAAACTAGCGTTTAATTTCGGCAACAACAACAACCCGAAATGTGTTATTTATAAAATAAACTGTGATTGGGGACAAAGCTACATAGGTGAAACATCCTGACCCATCAACACCCGAGTCAAAGAACATCGCACCTCTTGTTGCTAACTCCGACACCAAATCAGCTATCTCTGACCACATCAAAGCAAACCCCAATCCACCAAATAGAGTGGTCCGACTTCACCATTCTCGCCAACAACCAAACGGACTTCACTAAACGCAAGCTCACCGAAGCCATTCACATCAAACGCCATAAGCCCACCATCAACCGTGACCAAGGATACTTCATTCCATCAGCTTATGATCCACTCCTCCACCAAGCCCAATCTATTGTATAAACGTCGCACCTATTGTATAAACATCCCTTTATTGTACCACTCCTGTATTTATACATCTCTGGCTTCCATTCACTATCCCTTGTGTACTCACTGGCTTCATCAGCTTACTGCTTAACCAATTATGGCAATTATGTTGTTTCCTTTGTCAATTACAATGTATGTAGTTTCATTGTTATACACAGTATAAATATGCAGCTCCTCCACATCATGTATCACTCTTGCTTGACAACGGTACAGAACCTGTATCGACACGTCGCACTCACGAAATAAAAAGTTGTTATCCATAAAAACTTGTTCCCAATCCAGTGATTGTCACCATTCGATACGATGACAGCATGTGTTTATGAGTCACTATGAAATGATGATGATACCAGGTGTTCGCGAAAGGCGGGCAATCAATATTTAAATATGATTTATCAATAACATGTGTTTGTTTCAGTGATCAGTATATGGCTGAAAATGTTGAGATTCACGTCACGGTACCTCTTCCACAGGGCCAGAAAGATGTGATGATTCGTCACATATTGCAACCGTCCATTCAATATAATCTACATATTCCTTAACTCTGTTATTTTTGACGAGTCGACACATCTAATTAAACATCTTTGTTAGAATGGTTTAGTTTCACTGAATAAATATCCCAAAACATGTAAGACTATTTCGATTTGCGTAGCGATACTTTGTTTACATAGGTTGTACTGCTCCACCAGCTGTCATTGAAGCCAACAGAAAGCAAACGATGCATCCAGTTTGATATCTAAATATGTACTGTTATAAATGTTATTGTCGCAGTTGTGGAGGAATATATATGTGACAATGTAAAACATTGTGAAGAGCGCCGAAAAGCTTGCGTAAGGCCAGTCTCTTCTTATTATGAATATGCGCGTCTGTTTACAAACAAGAGAAAAGTCCGGTCACGTGATATGCAAATTAGCCTGTGGCAGTGATGTTATGCTGAGTCATCACTGCGCCGGAGTGTGGGTACCTTCGCCACTAATGTCGCCAGGTGCTGGGGGTGTCACGTGATGCCTATCATAAGGGTTGCAAGGACGGGGACGGTGGGGTAGCCTAGTGGTTAAAGCGTTGGCTCGTCACGCCGAAGACCCGGGTTCGATTCCCCACATGGGCACAATGTGTTAAGCCCATTTCTGGTGTCCCCCGCCGTGATATTGCTGGAATATTGCTAAAAGCGGCGTAAAACTAAACTCACCCATACAGTCAGTCAGTTGCAAGGACGCTGTCAACGTACGGGTGTCATTGCTGGCCATCCTTGTTTCGATACAGATTCTTGTACGTGCAGCAACGGTACAAGAATCTGTATCGAAACGTCGCACTCTCGTAATAATAAAAAGTCGTTATCCATATAGTTTGTCTATATTGTAACTTCCCATCTTTAAAATGCCACCAAAGAAGAAATTATAACACCTTGGACTAATCTTCAACTGAAACGTGTATTAGGTCATAACCCAATGTATTGAATGGATGACATTATCATCGTTATATTTTGTTAGAATACAGAGACAAACCTTCCTCGGTCAAGCACCGCTGGCAATGGACACCTGTCTATCATGTGGGTATGTATAAAACATGTGCAAGACACTTTATCATAGATTTGCTCTTGGAACGAATCATGTTTTATGTAGCACCAAAGTAATCTTTCATTGAACGTGATTCTTTCATAATAAGTGCTAGATAAGGGAGGATACTCACTTTTAATAAATATTCCATAAATACATATTGAATGGCCAATACGACGTCATTGCATAATGACCTTTAAAATCTGGACTGACAGGTGTAACCCACAGGTCTAACCGATAGTTGGTTTTATTTGACGTAGTTTTTTATACCTACTAGGGTGTCCCACGTCTTTTGCATTAGATCACGGATGTAAGATTTAATTACGGCTCTGTAATCAGAGTATGGGATGAGAAGCTGTTATTTGGTAATCGAGAAGCTATTGTTCTGATGCGATGAAAGTGGCACAAGTGAAACTGCGTCACCATCCTTGGGCGTGTTTTAGCATTACTTTGGAATGAAACTTCCTCTTCCAGCAAAACTAGCGTTTAATTTCGGCAATAAAAACGAAACACGAAGAAAAGGTATAAATGAAAAAGACAAACAAGGGGCATCTTACGTAATGCGTACATGATACTAAGGGGCTAAACCAACAGGTCTGTCCACAACTGAGATACCTCCTAAAAATAACGTCATGTCTATTTTTTGTACATCACGCAATTCTTGACCATAATGCAAGGTTTTGTTGCCCATGTAAGTCTCACTTACCTCTTCGTATTGCGCATAACGTCTCAAATGCCAGTCAAACAGACAAACGTAGAGGTGACAGGCTGTCTAGAATCCTCGCTCACAATATCAGAATCGCATGAGTGTCGGCTGCAAAGTTCGCACATTAACAAATCAAGTGTCTTTCTTACAGTGAACAGCTGGACAATAAGTGTGAAGACAATATGATTGTTGATGGCTTCATTTTGACAAGTGGTTATAGAAGCGGACAAGATGTTACCAAACCTTACAGTAAGTTTTACATTTGCTTCTTTCAACAAATTCCCACTGTTAAAAGCTGATCAACCAAGAAATCATGAGTTGTTTCGTAGTACATGGAAAAGTAAATTAGACCCATCCCATGTTTGTCTTATTGAGTCTAAATGTGGGTGTTCAGTCAGCATTCACAAGTGTTCATTTACTTCACGTGTGAATAAACCATACGTCCTCTGTGGCTATATTGAAATACGAAATCGAATTCTTTGCACATATTAAAACATTTCTTTCAACAAAATATTTGACTTTGTACAAACTACAGTTCAAATGAAAATCGTATTTCAGAAGACCCTAGTGTCTCCACAATGGGAAAATGCAGTCATGGTGGTCCGAGGGACGAGAGCAGTTCATCAGTGGCAGCCCTGGGGGGAATCAACAAAGACTCCACCCTCGTGTCCCTGTCTCCCCACAGTCATCTCCACCAGGTGGCAGCACAGGCAGCCATTGAACACACCTCGTACTTCTTTGATGATGAAGGTAAAACAGTTCATGAACCTGTGCATCCGTGTGTTGCAACATGCTCAACAATGTATACATATTTCAGTTGCTACTGTCGATTATTTCTCTGACACTTTGGTTCTGCCCAGAATACGGAATCAGGGGTATCATCGGGACCGACAAGTTCAACAAGTTACTTCAGCTGAAATCTAGAGCCTCGCTTGCATTCATTATAGACTATTCTGGCTCCATGAGCGATGACATTGCAGGACTTAAGTCTGTCTCTCGGGATATCATATCAAGTACGATTGGGACCTTGGAGGAACCAGCAAACTTCATTTTCTCCCTCTTCAATGACCCGTGTAAGTGTGAAACGGTTCTATATGTCCTCAAAATCCTAACATCACGTCCAATGAAAATTATATCAAACTTTTACGTGAAACCTTTTGTGAATAAATATTTGGATTATAAACGTTTGTTTATTGAACAGTGTCACTGAACATGATTTACACGACTGCTGATGGGAATGATGCCCTGCGATATCTGGACGAGATCAGGGTCTTTGGTGGCGGCGATTGCCCAGAATACGCTATGACTGGACTCGTAAACGGTAAGGTGATAACGATGTCACGCTGATAGCTGAAATACCTACGACAGTGTCCACACTATAGGATGAAGTGGTTTTGTTACTCAAAGATTAAACTGTTTGTCATTTTACTGACATACGTGTCAGTGAATGTTGGATCTAACAGGAATACATGTCCCCCATACCCATGTTTATGGTGACTTCATATAATCCACGACACCATCAGTGCCTGCTATCTAGAAATATCGGTTAAGTGAATCAACAATACGTCAAGTATTCAGATTCAGAACCAGTCTCACGGAACATTTTGGAATTTGCTGCATTTAATGACGTTGTGCCCATGTGCTGCCAAGGTCTGCAGTTTTAGTAAGCCCTTTTCGCCTTAAACCCGATCTATTTAGTTATTGCTAAATTGTCAGATTAAAATGCTGTAACTGCATGGTTTCCCTGCAACAACTGTAGAAATGATTATCTTAGCTTGAAAACATTACAATTACCATTCGGATTTAAGTATTTCAAAAAAACTAATTATTTTTCAGCTCTGGCTGTCTGCAATTACAACTCCGACCTATACTTCTTCACGGATGCCTCTGCTAAAGATGCATATTTTGGAGTCACAGTATTGTCACTAGCCATCTTGAAAAGAGTTGAACTGGAGTTTGTATTGACCGGTGATTGTGCTCGGCGGAAGCGCTCGACAGGTGCTCAATATGTATATTTATCAGTATCGCCAGTTCTTTTAACAGTATTATACTTTTTCACAATCAAGCGCCCTCTTTAGTTCTTTACTTTTATACTTATACTATATACTTTAATACTGAACAGTAAACACACTTTATATAAAACAACGTTCAATGAAAGCGATGAAACATTAAAGCCATTGCACGATTTCGACTACATCCTGACGCAGTATGTAATAATGATGACACCGGGCCGGGTGTTCCATCTACGGTGAGCATAATCTGTCTTTCCGATTGCACTTGTAATAAAGACACGTAACGAAAAGAGACCTTTTTTTCTAAAAAATCCTACAGTATATGGTACTGTCCAATATATGTCAGGCAATGTTGTAACATGGTAAGATTTGCCTTCGTCTATCTGAATCTCTTACAGAGGGCGGTGATAACAGGAACCGCCGGTACAGACGTTCCACGGACGGTGAGGATTTATACAGGAGGCTAGCCACAGCTACTGGAGGCTCCGTCTACGTCACAAGCAAGGCAGGCATCGCCAAGGTCGCTGAAATTATAAAGGTACAATGAAGTGAACATCAAGTGACTGTACACATTCACCCGAACTATAGTATACCATTGTTTGTAATATATGGTCTATTTAAACTGGCTATCAAACAAATACAGCTGACTTCACAAAGGTTAATCCAGCCTTGTTCCATCAATTCAGCTATTGTTCCAGGAATCAGTTAAAACGTCTTCTGTCACTATCATCAAAACATCTCTACCAGCTTCTGACGAGAACGTCACCTTTCCTGTGGACCAGACCATTCGCCAAGCTACAGTCAAGATTATAGCATTGGACAGAACGACGCCCGTGTATAAACTATATACACCTGACAGTAAGTATAGTTGAATCACATCACTGGTCACACCAGACTGGTCAGCCTGTACGGACAGCATGATGTCATGAATATTGTGACGTCATATCAGATTGTTCAGTGATAGTATGCAACCCGTGAGCTGACCGAGACCACGGTATTGTCGATTGAAAAGAGAAATGTGAACACTAAAGGAACAGCGCAAAAAGCGAGATGCACGTGCGTTAACGGGTTCTCAACAATTTTTTTGAGCTGGCGAGATGACACGTACTCCAGCTGCACAGGCAATGCGCTGTATGTACTTAGTCACTGCATACTTTGTTCGCCCCCTGTTATTATCATCCTTGAAGAAATCATAGACCTCGAAAATTATAGACTTTCATTTTCTCTCACTTTGTCAATAGGCAGTAATCACATGTCTCTGACATCACTAATGCTTTTCGCGCTGTTCCTTTAGTTGCCTCTGCGCCCTTGTAACGAACTTGGAAAACTCACAAATAAATGATGACAGTTTCTTAAACAACTTTTTTATTTTTGTGACAAAGAATATGCAATTCTTTTCTTGAGCTGGTCTGTTGTTTTTATTGCACTCCGTTGGTTTGATTCTTTTATGTCTATTTGTTTTTGTGTTAGATTCCAATTCATCGGTATCATTTTGTCCCAAACGGACTGTAGATTAGACCACCACGTTGCTGTTGCAGGTTGAGGATAGTACAAGGATGCTCACGAGGCAAACTGATACATGTCACATGTTATCACAATGGTGAAGTTTGGTAGTCACACTGTAATATTGGTGAGGTATTTGCATGTGACAAAAAGGTCTGTCATGTGACTGCAAACAGACTCGCGTGATGGTAACTCCGAGAGTGACGTATATATCACTATAGATGGTCAATAGATAGCCTTTGATAAGCCAATAGATAACTTTTTGAACGAGAAATAGTAAAAACAAATTAGGCAGGTACAATCACTTACATCCAGCAATCATTCCCACTATTCAAAGTTCTGGTCTGGAGAAATGGTCGTTAATGTCAACGATCAGAGATCTTGAATGTGTTAATGAGTGACGGAATCATTTTAGGATCAGAATACTTGTACATATCACAGTTGTTGGAACTACTCTGTGTATCGTCCACTGTCGTTTCAGATACCGAGGCTACGTCCAATGTAACTGTGTCTGACCTTGGAGATGGAATACTTTTGGTCAAGGTTGAGGTGTGTACATTTTTCCTGCAGTTTTTACGCTATCAGGTCACTACTAGACGAAACACGCTTTGTCCACACTGTGGATATATCAAGCGCCTTGACCAATAACTGAACTTATCTGCCAACCAAAATGAGTGAGTGAGTCAAAATGGAAGGTAATGGCGGCACTATTTATTGCAGAAAATGTATAAATATATGATATATCTTACAATATATTTATATCTTGCCCGTGAAGCAACTAGTACATCATCCGTTTTCATATACGACTAGTGAGTAACTGTAAAACTACAACATAACGGTTCATAATACAACTTTGTGATAGAGCGACAGCAACAAATGTTAATTATTCTATATGGCCCGTAGGGACTTCCGGTATGTCACCATGGTACCCAGGTCGTATTTAACATGGAACAATCATTTGGATGGGGTTGTAAGAACATTTTGACAATAGTTACAATATTGTTAAAAGACACAATTAAAGAGATATATGATGTGATGAGTCACGTGACACTTGCAGAACACACAATTATATGACAGAAAGCAATGCGAAACTAAAAGGTAAAAAGACTTCTTATCAATCTTCTTATCAAACCTTGATATCAGATGCAGTCAAAATATCACACGTTATCAACTATTATAATTATATTGCCAGTTCCAATACACTTCTCATGTTCATTCTGAGAGATGTAGATTTTCGTTGTACTGACGTTTTCAGAGCCCAGCAACGTGCGTGTGGAGACTAGCCCGCCAGGGTTCCAATACCTGGGAGGTGGAGGTGACAGGTCAGAGTACCCTGGACGTATCTACAACCTTTGTGAAGCTGAACCCCATCTCCGGGTTTGAGTATGAGATCAGCGGACGACCTATAGCAGGTTTGTAAATGGTCACGCATGACAGTGACAAGACACACCTCCCAAGTCCCCTACACTTCCCTGTAACCTACCCATTGTACAACTCGGGTAAAATATCCTAATATCGTAATTTGAAATGTTTTTCCAGGCAGTACCGGATAAACAGCAATGGAAGTTGGCACCATGTTTAATTGTGTTGTCAAGTAGTCTCCTGTTTCATTTACATGCAACTTTAACTAAATTGTATCAGTATTGCTAGCTGAAGACTCTGTTTTATTAACAGGTGAAAATGCCACAGTGATCCTTGGCATTCCTTCGTCAGATGATGTTGGCAGAGTAGACAAGGTTATCTTAACTGATCCTCAAGGAGTTGAGCTGGCAAGACATGGCGAACTGATAAAGGTGGCGTCACGAGCTGATTCACTGGCCTACAGGATCACGTTCTCACTGCCAGTGAAGGTAAAACCCTGGATCAGTTGACACTTGATCATTTCACACATCCAACTGCTGCGCCCTGGACAGCTGGGACACCCGTGCCCCCTCGGCGCTCCCCAAAACAATTTCCCACCTGATAATTAATCATTATCGTTTGTTATCACTAAGCCCTTGGCAGACTGTGTGATAAGCATGAATGGTGCACTCATCATGACATGTAATTATCTTGGGAGTATTTCCTGCTTCTTTACTGCATGTGTGCATGGGTAACCCACTCGTCAATGGCGGCATAGTCCGCTGTGCAGAGTATCGTCCCTTGAGTACACAGGAAGGCACCCATGAAGGGCCACCTCCTCGTGGTGGGTGCTGGGTAACGCTAAGCGCCCTTCAAACCCCCGTTGTGGACCCGGGGGGATATTAGGTCCACCAACCTGTTTGCCGTGGGTTGCGCCCCTGTGTCGGTGGAGGACGGGATTCTGGTGGTTGAGGGCAAGGGCTCCAGGAACAGTGTTCCTTTGCCCAATACACCACTTCGACCCTTACTTCACCTAGACGGGTGGTAGAACTGGCCTGGTTCTATCAATCAGCTGGTCACGCCAAGCCCTGTGCATTGTATTTTGTCTTGCACACCTTATATCTAATTATTCATTCATTACTTTGTGGACTTGGTAAAAATGTACTTGTACTATTCACTTGCTTAATTTAAACAAATACAAAATTACTTGCCTAGAGTCTAACATGCCAGAAGGCGGTGGCTCATGGGCCAATCTGGTAGAAAAATTGTTTTTTAATGTTTCTGCTTGAGTATATCCCCCTGGTATCCCTGGTGCCGCCTGTTGGAGACCCACAGGCATGAGGCATCGTCCTTGTTGACACTCCATGGTGGGTGGGGAACCAGGAGGATGAACCACAATCACTACAACCATGGAACCCCCGATGAAAAAACGCCCGTATGAGTCAAATGATTTCTGTGATGCAGATAGGCCGATAACGCCTTCTGTGACTTTTGAAAACTGGCCCAGATTCTTGGTTATCTCAACTCAGGATGGCACTCCACTCAAGTTGAATCCTTTTGCCATTGAGAAGACTATTCAGGGCATTGCTGGCGATGTTGAAGATGTCAAAATATTACGCAGTGGTTGTCTACTTATTAAATGTAGACGACAGAAACAGGCTGTCAATCTTCTTTCCACCAAGACCCTCGCAACTGTTCAAGTTGTGGTTTCCCCACACCGATCCTTGAACAGCTGTAAGGGGATAGTGCGAGATAGTGGTCGTTTACTTGCTGACATGACTGAGGATGACATTTTGGAAGAACTAAAGAGCCAACATGTTATCTCTGTAAAACGTTTCTCTTCCAAACGACATGGTGCGATCATTAAGACCAACACGTATCTGTTTACCTTTGGTCTTTCCAAAATACCTAACTCAATTAAAGCCGGATATTGTAATATCAAAGTGGATCTGTACATCCCTAATCCTCTAAGATGCTACAAATGCCAACATTATGGACATGGATCTAGAACGTGCAATAAAGACGCTGCTTGCAATCGTTGTGGCGGTAACTGTGATGACAGTACTGAATGTAACAAAGATCCTTCATGTGTCAACTGTGGCGGTAATCACGTTTCCTCTTCCAAAGATTGCCCCATATGGAAACGCGAATCCAAGATCATGAAAATCAAACATGAAAGGAATGTATCTTTTCAAGATGTGAAGAAGATTGTTCTGGGCGAAGAACAGTCCATACACAGTTCCTATTCTGCAGCCGTTACTCGACCAATTTCACAGTCTGTTCCGCAACATGTTCCATGGTTGTCGGACCGATTATACATGGACTGAAACCGAAGCTCCTAAGTTAATTTCAGTCTCTATCACTGAAGCAACAGTTCCTGTTGTGGAATCGGCCAGTTCACAAACACCTCCCCACGATCTACCATCATCTCAGTCGTCTAGGATCACACAGTTAGAAACAAATGTAAAACAAGTGGTAAAAAACATAAACAAACCAATCCCGGAATCAAAACAGCCCCAAAGTGGCAGGAGATCTAAAGGATCTGAAAACAAGATCCAGTTGTTCAACAAATACGGTTCACTTGAAGATATGGATGTGTCTGACATCAGTAGTCAGAGAACACATAGCCCGTCACCCTCCAGGAAAGGGCGGGGCAGATCGCCAATTAATCCTCCTAAAAGGTAATGTCTTCACATATTCTACAGTGGAACTGTAGAGGTCTCAGGAACAATTATAATCAAGGATTTCAGACCATCAGCACTATGTTTACAAGAAACATACCTGAAATTTACAGATAAATTTGATTTAAGGAATTATGATTCCTACCATCGTTTTTCTCCAGCTGGTGATAAGGCCACTGGGGGATTTTCTATTCTGGTGAGTCGGGACACGATTCATAGCGCTATTCCACTTAATACCCCTCTTCAAGCCGTTGCTGTCCGCGTGACACTACATGTTGTACTTACTTTGTGTTCACTATATATACCACCATCATCCTCTATACAGCAATGTGATCTTCAAATGCTCTATGATCAGCTCCCAAAACCTTGCATTATAATGGGAGATTTAAATGGTCATAACCCACTTTGGGGTAGTAACACAACCAATGCAAAAGGGAAGATACTCGAGGATTTCTTCTCAAATAATGATTTATGCATTTTCAAAGATGGCTCTGACACATATCTTCATCCTGCAACTGGTTCGTACTCCTCTCTGGATCTATCCGTTGTGGACTCTAATTTATATAACGAATTTGACTGGTCGGTCCATGATGACCCTTGTGGAAGTGACCATTTTCCCACTATTTTTTCCGCCATAAACCCCAGTGATGCTGCACCATCGTCCAGGTGGAACTTTAACAAGGCAGATTGGTCTATGTTCGAGACCTTATGCCATACCAGATTAAAACCCGAATTCTTTCTAACTGTGTCTGATCCTATTCAGATGTTTTCTGATGAATTAAATATGATTGCTGATGATTGTATTCCCAAGTCCTCTATGGTCCCACACATCCGTAAGCCATGTTAATTTTAATTCAGATAATGGGGAGGATTATAATGAAATCTTTTTCCATTCATGAGCTCCATACTGCCCTTGGGCAAGCTCATGACACTGCTTCAGGTCCCGATAATATTCATTATCAGCTTCTTAAACATCTCCCTGAATCATGTTTAGAAACATTATTAAATATCTTTGACAGTATATGGACTTCTGGTAATTTCCCACCATCATGGCGCAATGCCATAATCATTCCTATTCCTAAACCTGGCCGGGATCATACAGATCCGTCTAATTACAGACCAATTTCTTTAACTAGCTGTGTTTGCAAGACAATGGAACGTATGGTTAATAATCGTCTAGTTTGGTACCTGGAAACCAACAACCTCATCACTGACATTCAATGTGGTTTCCGGAAAAATCGTAGTACCATCGATCATTTGGTACGATTGGAGTCTTTCATCAAAAATTCCATGCTAAATAAACAACATGCTGTGTCGATTTTTTTTCGATCTTGAAAAGGCATATGATACGACATGGAAATATGGAATTTTGAAAGATCTCCATGATTTTGGTTTGAGGGGTCGTTTACCCCTTTTTATATCACAGTTTTTTAGAAGACAGACAATTTCAAGTCCGAGTGGGGACTACCCTGTCTGATCATTACAGTCAGGATCAGGGTGTCCCTCAGGGCAGTATTTTGTCTGTCACTTTGTTTAGTGTTAAGATCAACAGTTTATCATAGGTTTTAAACGATTCAATTGATGGATCTCTTTTAGTGGATGATTTTAATATTTCTTGTCGTGGGAAAAATATGCATACTA